TACTGGGCGTCGGAACCAAAATACGAGCCCGATACCTATATTTTCTAACTCCTTTTCATTTCAAATTTTCATATCAAATTTCAGAAAAATAATTTCTTTCAAAAATTCATTTCTCGGGCTTGGGACCTCAGAATTTGATTCCGGGCACACGCCCAAGTCCCATATTTTTCTACGGACCCTCCGGGACCGTCGAATCACAGTTCGGGTCCGTTTACCCAAAATGTTGACCGAAGTCAACATTATGCATATTAATACCAAAATTCATCAAATGTTTCACATAATTCACATATTCTAACATAAAAACTTTTCGGCTATGTGCCCGAACTACGCACGACAATCGAGGCAACTAAAAGTGAGGTTTTCAAGGCCTCGAAAGCACGGAACAAGGAAGAACTACGGTGATGACCCTTCGGGTCGTCACAAGAAATAACTTCAGCTCCAATCCCATCGCCGGGGAGAAGAGTGATGTCGTAGCTTTTGGTGGGTGAGGCCGCGAAACAGCGAAGAGTACCCCATTTAGCGGTGTGTTTGGGCAGCGTTTTTGAATGAAATTGGAGTTGGTTGAGAGGTGTTGCAGTAATTGTAACGAAGCCGCCATTGTTGAGACTCTGAAGCAGAAAGCTTTCGAAGTGATGATTTTGGGTGGAAGTCGAATCGGTTCCGTTATTTAGAGAAATTTTATCGCGGCCCTCTTGACGAGACGACATTAGGGTTGTTCTTGAACAAAGATAACAGAGTTTGGGGCCGAGCAACTTGAAGATTCTGTTAATATTTTTTCAATGTATTTCAATATATCTCGATGAATTCTATGTATTTCATTATATTCATTGTTTTCTTTTTTTCATTGTATTTCAATGTATCTCGCTGTATTCCATGTATTTCATTGTATTCACTGTGTCGTTATTCCTTCAATGTATTCATATATTTTTTAATTAATGTAATTTATGTATTTTATGTATTCAGATTTATAATTGTGTTTGTTGAGTTATATTAGGAGTCTATTGTGCTAATTGATTCACTTTCCGTTTAAAAACAGCTGAATAGACCATGAATTGCGCTATTTATGTTACTGTATTCACAAATACATATTGTGAATACAGTCGACTACAATAATCTGTCTAGCTGTAATCCCCTGTTTTACGCCGAGAAATGCTACTGTATTCATGAATACAGTAGCTTAAGTACATCGAATACACCCTAAAAACCTGAAAACATATCTATAGGAAGTAATATAGTAAATGGTAGCTACAACTAGCTAATAACCCCTAAAACATAGTGATTTCTGAAAGTTTCTTTTTCTTTTTTTGGTCAAATCAAAATTTTTGTATTTAACCAATTAAAATATGTACATCCGCTAGCCCATGGGACTCTAGAGCTAGACCCTTTATAATACTCCTATTACAGTACTACAATTCTGTTTCTTTTCCTAATAGACTAGTATGTTATACATTGCCTCAAGTAGGAAATCTATTTAACTGTTCTAATAAGGTCTTCTATTTACTCCTTTGTTGGCCTTTGATATAAAACTGCAATACAATCTCTCGAACTCTCCTTGCATATGTAGTTTATTGCTTTTGAAACCTTCGCATGTTCCTTTCCAGCCATGTATAATAGACTGTTGCTGCAAATAATGACATATGACATATGTCATTATTGTTGTTGAAATTATTTAATTAGATATAAAATTTAAGAAGAACGAACGACTTTTGGCACATACTAAACATATGTATAAAATTTGTGATCTTTACACTTTTATGTCTCTAAGGGCATGCCATTAGGGTGAAATAATGAGGTCAAAATTAAAGAATTTTCAATTATAAAATTGTATTATTCTATTTTAAATAATCTTAATAAACCGGGCAGCATATTCAGTAGTACATTTTTTTGGTAATACATGAAAGTTAGAATGACTCTAACAAAGATTTTTAGAGCTAGCTTACTCCATTAAGCAAAGAAGAGGCGTATTACTTTAAGCTTAATATATTTTGGCATACCAAGCAATGATTTCTCCATTAGAAAGATACGTTGCGAGACAACTAGGACAAGAGATTCTTTAAATGCCATATAAAAAAAGGAGACTAAAGCCATAATTAATTCCACAATGCAAGACAAAAACCAGGAAATTCAGGAGGAAAGGAGGCCCTACAACCAACCATCTTGAAAGCCATTACATTCTCATCCCCTCTCAATCAAATGCAGTAGTACAATCACCACAGCACAACGTACAACACTAATAAAGCTTAATTTTCTAGCATGATATTTTTGCTACAAAAGAATATCATATATTTCGAGCAATATGTGGTTCATATTAGTAGGGAGCACTGGCGAGGAGGAGAAGAGAGCGAACAGTGAGAGGTATAAAGTAGCTAGGAAGGAGGCGAAGATGGCAGTAACGGAGGCTAAGACGACAGCTTTTGCTCGTCTGTATGAGGAACTAAGGAACAAAGGCGGGGAGAAGAAGTTATTCCGACTCGCTAAGGCGAGAGAGAGGACAACTCGGGATCTGGACCAAGTGAGGTGCATAAAATATGATGACGGCAAAGTTTTGATGGGAGATGACCAGATTAAGAGGAGGTGACAGACCTACTTTCATAAACTTCTATGTGAATAAGAGGATCAGGATATTGTACTAGGGGAATTGAGGAATGCCGACAGTCCCCATGAATTAAGTAATTGTAGGGACATTGAGATCGATGAGGTCATGGAGGCAATGCGTAAGATGAGAAGGGGCAGAGCTACCGGGCCAGACGAAATTCCGGTTGAACTTTGGAGATGTGTGGGTAGAGCAGGCTTGGAATGGCTTACTGGATTATTTAATGTTATATTCAAGACTAATAGGATGCCTGAAGAGTGGAGGTGGAGTACAATGGTTCTGTGTATAAGAACAAAGGTGATGTCCAGTCCTGTAACAACCATAGAGGTATCAAATTATTGAGTCATACCATGAAAGTTTGAGAGAGAGTGGTAGAAATGAGAGTGCGAAGGACGATGTCTATTTCAGACAACCAGTTCGGGTTCATGCCGGAGCGATCTACCACAGAGGCTATCCACCTTATTAGGAGGATGGTAGAACAATACAAGGATAGGAAGAAGGATCTCCACATGGTGTTTATTAATCTGGAGAAAGCGTACAACAGGGTTCCTAGGGAAGTCTTATGGAGCTGCTTAGAGGATAAAGGGGTCCCAGTTGCCTACATTAGGATGATTAAAGACATGTATGCTGGAGCTAAGACTCGGGTTAGGACAGTAGGAGGCGACTCCGAGCATTTTCCAGTTGTTACGGGGTTGCACCAAGGGTCTGTGCTCAGCCCATTCCTATTTGCCCTGGTGATGGATACACTAACTCATCATATTCAAGGGAGGTGCCATAGTGCATGCTATTTGCTGATGACATTATTCTAATTGACGAGACACGGGGCGGTGTCAACGAAAGGCTAGAGGTTGGGAGACATGCTCTTGAGTCTAAAGGTTTCAAGTTAAGTAGGACGAAGACGGAATACCTCGAGTGCAAGTTTGGGGTTGAGCCGACGAAAGCAGGAGTGGAAGTGAGGCTTGACTCTCAAGTCATTCCCAAGAGGGGTAGTTTCAAGTACCTTGGATCGGTTATTCAGGAGATCAGGGAGATCGACGAGGATGTCACACACCGTATAGGGGAGGGGTGGATAAAGTGAAGGTTAGCGTCGGGAGTCCTGTGTGACAAGAAAGTGCCACCGTTACTAAAAGGTAAGTTTTATAGAGCAGTGGTTAGGCCTGCTATATTATATGGGACTAAGTGTTGGCCGGTTAAGAACTCACATATCCAGAAGATAAAAGTAGCAGAGATGAGGATGTTGAGGTGGATATGCGGGCATACAAGGATGGATAAGATTAGGAATGAAGATATTCGAGAGAAGGTGGGCGTGGCTCCCATGGAGGACAGGATGCGGGAAGCAAGACTCAGATGGTTCAGGCACATTCAGAGGAGGAGCACTGATGCACCGGTAGGGAGGTGTGAGCGACTGGTTGTGGTAAGCACGAGGAGAGGGATATGGAGACCTAAGAAGTATTGGGGAGAGGCGATCAGATAGGACATGGTGCGACTTAGGATTACTGAGGACATGACTCTTGAAAGGGAATTATGGAGGTCGAGCATTAAGGTTGTAGGTTAGGGGAAAGTTGTGAATATTTCAACATCATGATAGAGTGAGACTAGCCAGTTAGGAGTTAGTCTGAGGATGATATTGGTCGTCTACTGATGCAGGGCTTTATCTGCTGGTTTTTACTATACCATCCATCTATTTCGTATTTCGTATTCCGTATTTCGTATCTCTTATATTGCTGTTATTTTATTATGAGTCTATTGATGGTACTAATATATCGTCTCTTGTTGCTTTCTTGAGCCGAGGGTCTCTTGGAAACAACCTCTCTGCCCCTCGGAGTAGGGGTAAGGTCTGCGTACATATTATCCTCCCTAAACTCCACTTGTGGGATTATACTGGGCCGTTGTTGTTGTTGTTATTGTTGTTGCATGTGGTTCATATTATTGTTGATTATGCTTTCGAACTCATACTTTACTTTATTTGGACAACTTTACTTTTAGGGTACTAATTTTCAACCTCTTTCTCTCTCCTAAAATTTTAACCGATTTTTTCTTTGTTAAAGTAAGGACCTAACATTACAAACAAAAGATATGAGACACACACCAATAAAAAAATTGTTGTTATTAAAATGAAAGTGACAAATGGACCAAACACACATCAATAACACACACCTTCCTCTCCTTCATACATACTCTTTCATGATTTTTCCACTTCTTCCTATCTTCCCTATTTCTCTTCACCTCATTTCCTCCCTCTAATAGTCATGTTTGATCCAAGAAAACAAACACCAAATGACGATTGGGAGCCTCTAAATTTTGGTTTCGAAGTATCAAAAAAGCATGGCAATTGGACTAACAATGATAATGGAGAAGGGATTCAATTTAGAATTCAAGAAATGAAAGAACATGAAGATGGTGGTGCTGAATCTGGTGATTCATCACCACCCTTATGGCAAAATAGCCCTCCAATAAGTCCAGTTCATCATAGTATAAATTATCGGTCACTTTCGCCGAGTTCTAGAGCTCAAGCCATAGCTAGAGGCCAATGGGAACTAATGGAAATGGTTAAGAACATGCCTGAATCTTGCTATGAGCTTTCATTAAAGGATCTTGTTGAGCAGCCTACTACATCCTTTCAATCTCAAGAAAATTGCTTAATGAATAAGGAGAAAAACCAAGTTGTGCAGCATAGGGTGAAGATAAAGAGGCAAGAGAGTAGCAACATGAATAAGAAGAAGAAGAATCAAATGATGAAAAGTAGAAGTCTCGACAATGGAGGGCTATTTCTGAAGATGGTTTCCCCTGTTCCTTTGAGATCAAAGAGAAAAACAAATACAACTAATAAAGTTTCTCCTAAGCTTGAAGAGTGTGAAAACTCTTCAAAAAGTTTGGAAAAAGACTGGTGGAAGAAGAGATTTTCTAGTTCAAGTGAGAGTGGTAGTAGCAGAAATAGAAGCAGTGGCAGCACTTCTAGCAGTAGCACTAATAGCAGAAATAACAGCAACAGGTATATATCTTCATTACTTAATTTTTCAATTCAAACAAATCTGGATATTTCTTGTGATCACTAAGGGGATCCAAACATGGGTTCGCAGGTTCAGTAGAATTTAATATTTTGAGATCGATTTTTGTAAATATTCGCAAAAATAAGTATAGATAGAATTAAATATATACTTCAAAACTAATTCTCTCAACTTATAATGCATAATATCTGAAGTCTGAATCTGCCACTGCTTGAAAATTTTAACGGACGATGAATTTGCTAAAATGACTTGGGATGTAGAAAGGTGGAGCGAGGATTTGAGCACTGACTATTAGAGTTACCAGGAAATTTAATATTTGTACATCTTTAGGAGTAATTCTTTTAATATATAAGTAGAATACGAGCAAAATGTTACTGGGTCTAGCCAAACTCGTAACTTACATGCATGCTACCTTCACCCCTGGTCATGTAATCTTGGGAGTGTTCCTGCCATATGTTTTGTCCGAGTTTAAAGATTAAAAAAAAAGTTTAAAGTAGATTATTCAATACATTCTCTTTAACTTATTCTATGGTCACTTCACTAGTTGGATGATTCTGGGAAATCCTGCTTCCATACAGAACAGAACAGAAACAAAACAAAGAATGGAAACCTTTAGATCCAAGAAAACCAGTTTTGTGAGTTGTCTCTAATGGAAAGCATTAGTCGATTATAATATATTTCAAAAACTATCATATTTCATTTAATCATTGTTAGAAGCTTTGCTGAGTATGCACATTGCATTTAAAAGAGAAGTAGTTGTTGAGATACCAGATCATTAATCAGATTCTGATTGTTTTAGCATTTATTATTATTGTGACATTAAAGAAACACCCGTCCACCCACCCACCCACTTAAAATAAGACATGTTTGTTTTTTATGTAATGCAGGAAAAGGAAAGGATTTTTAAGCAGTTGTTGGTCAAGGTTATGCTTCAGCAAAAGCATATCGGCAGGATGAGAATAACAAGTGATTGGTGATGCCACCTACACATAATACGTTTAAGTCTTGTAGAACCTTATAATAGTGTGATGTGTAAGTTTGTGGTAGATCACAATATATAAATATACAGCTCTAAGCAGATCTTTGAGCTATATTCTTGGGAAAGTTTTTCCCCCTTGAATTGCTCTTTCATTTGCTTTCTTCTTGTTTTGGCAAGTATTTATTTGTTAAATCAAAATTGAAATTTGAGATGTCAATATTGCAATACACTAAAATATTTTTGCTATAAGAAACGTGCAATATTAAAACCGAGCAAATTGAGTGTAGATCTCGTATATGGAATACTGAGTTGTTTCACAAAATTAAAAGTCAGAATAGTTCGGGACTCTCTTGATAACTTTTGTTTAGTTCCTCCTTAAATTTCATGTGGTCATTAACACTTCTTAAACTTGGCAATTACATAGGCTCGACCCGCAATACCACATGATTTTTTTTTTCATATGGTATTTTTTCACAATAATATATATATTTATCTTTTTAAGTCCACCAATTATTTAAATTATTTTTTTCGTGCCAAAATATGGATAAAAAAATTTGAAACAACGTTATTTTGACTATAATTTTTTATTTGGCTAAAAATAATGATATTTAATCAAGTTACTGTTATATATTTGACCAGGAAAAGAAGAAATACACAATTAGAACATATTATCATTGCATTTAAAAAAATAAAAATACATTGTTGGAACTCCATATATTGGTTAAATAAGAATTTTAGCTAAGAATAATAAAATTTCGAGCAAATATTTGCGAATTAGACTAAAACAAAATTCATAATTTAAATAAATAATCATTGCATGAAAATAAAAATAAAAATATACAATACTTTTTTTTTGTAGAAAATATATCATTTGAACTGCATTACTTTTGCTAAATCTTCTTTTTCATTTGGCTAAAATAAATAGAGTTTTATCTAACTTTTGTAGATTTGGACCGGCAAAAAAGATAAGAATTACATAGTAACATATATTCATTGTATTTAAGAAAAAAATACAATTCAGAAAAAAATATGCAATCTATATTAAGAAGAAATAACGAGAAATATATTTGGAACAAATAAATTATTATATTTGATTATATAGCAATTAAAATTTTAAAATACTCCATTTGCAAGCTAATTTTTCGATTTTTCTTCCCTCTCACGCATCTAATTAAGAAAGTGTATTCACGCTTTTTGCCACATCAACATCTAAAAGGGTCAAGACTATCAAATTTTCAAGTTCAGGGGGTGTTAAAGATCACATGAAGTGTAAGAAAATACAAAACAAAAGTTGTCAAATCTAGGGGTCCCAAATATTTATGCCAAATTAAAAGTTCAAATAACTTATATGTAGTAGTTTTAGGTCAATTTGTCCTAATTCATTTCCCGGGATAACAGCCAGAATTATTTGATGTACTTCAATAAAACTATCTTTTTTTCAAACTCTTTATTGAGTTACGTAACCATAATCATCATGTACTCTATTTTGTGGTAGTTGGCTAGTCTTTCTTAGAGTACAAATTAATTGTTCATAAATCATTCGACGGGACTCCAATGTCAATTTTATTTAGGTTTAGATGAATATAATTTGTTTTTTGCGTCGCAACTCTAAATGATAAATCTATCCTTCAATCCTTCGCAGAGGATAACGTAACTTGTCCTTATATTAAATCTATCATTTGAAATGCGTATAAAATTAAGAATTGATTTATATATAACTTATTAAACAAAGTGTCTGTAACTTTTTTTTGTTTGTGAACTGGATAATTATATATACATACCAAAAATAGTTATAACATTGTTTGGGAGCTGCTCCCTATTGTTTCGTTATCATTGTCTTGTCCTACATAATTGTTTACATTTACATTACAGACAAATATAATTCCTAGGATATCTGCCCACAGTGACTTGTTACAAACACCGAAGGAACTGTCAAAACTTCTGTCCTATCAAAAGCCTTTTTCCCTTCTCCTTCCTTTGCAAGGAGGTCTGCCACCTGATTTTGTTCCCTGAACTCATGCTCCAGTGCTGGATTCCCCAACTGCTCCATCAAGGACCCACATTCATGAATAACAGAGCTAAAAATGCAAATTCCCTTCCTTCATCATTTTGATAACCTGTTCTAAGTCACTGGAGATTATAAGTGGTGTGAGCTTGTACTGGAGTGTCAGTGTTAGCCCTTTCCATAGGGCTTGAATTTCAGCCTCAAGGGCTGTGGCATGGGGTAGGCCTCTCATGTAGCCCATAACCCAGTCACCCATGTTGTTCCTAATTATTCCCCCCCCCCAATCCCCCCTACTCGGGATATTGGGTATGCTGCTCCATCAATGTTGAGTTTGTATGTGCTAGCAGGGGATGGACTCCATTTGATATGGATCACATTTTTTTCCAGTCCTAACCTTATGTTGCACTGCAACATTATAGTATTCTGTGGCTCTAGCAATAGTCTGTTTGACTAGGACATTGTTCTTTTTGTTTATAAAAAGGTTGTTGTTCCTAGTTAGCCATAGTCCCCAAAAGCATAATGGTAGCGGAGATTTCCAGGTGATAGCATTATTGAACTGCATGCTCTTGATTTTGTGCCAAGTATCCTCCCAGTGGGTCATTGAGAATTGAAGGTGTGGATGGGAGGATTCATTGATACATTTCATAGTTAGAGAGTTCCAGAATGCCTTGGCATTGGTGCATTCGAAGAAGATGTGGCTGATATCTTCCACACTAGAGGAGCAGAAATGGCACAGTGGATTGACATTTAATCCTATGTTTTTTAAGTGCATGACAATGGGGAGTCTGTTATGTTGCATCATCCAGATGAAGAATTTAATCTTGTTGGGAACTTTTAGCTTCCAGATTCAGCTGAAGGTATCATCATAAAAAGAATAGAGGTTGGTTTCAGAACTAATCAGATTGTATGCTAATTTTGAGCGGAAAAGCCTATTGCTGGTGAGGTTCCATATGAGCTGATCCTTAGAGTTGGAAGATATGAGAATGAAAGTAGATTGGATCACACGCTTGATGTCTATGTGAATGGGGTAGTGGATGCATCAAAATTCCATTCCCCATTGCTGAGGATAGAATTATCTTGATGGTTAGGTCGTTGCTCTACCATGGCCCCTAGATGAGTTTATTGAGGGGGTGCATGGGATCCAATTGTCAGAGAGGAGGTTGACTCTATCCCCTTTGTGGACAATCCATCTAGAGGCCTTAAGGCAAACTTTCCAGCCTTCCTGAATACACTACCAAGTCCTAATTTTTGGTTTTGCTCTAGTATGATTTTCACTATAGTGTTTTCCAATCAGAACTCTAGCCTACATGGTGTCAGTGTTATTGTAAAGCCTCCAAGCTAGACTGGTCATGCTAACTTTATTTTTTATGAGTGCTTGCTGAATTCCCAGGCCTCCACATCATTTAGGCTTGGTGATGGCATCCCAATTGATCATATGAAGCTTCCTTTTTTCAGCAGTTGTTTCCCAGATAAAATTCCTTTGGATTCTATCAATCTGGTTAGAGATGTGGGACGATAGCTTAATATAACTCATGACATGGTTGGAAATGCTCCCTAGGCTTGCTTTGGCTAAAGTTGTACGCCCAACCATATTAAGCATTTTGGTTTTCCATCCTGTTAGTTTGGTGTTCATACTGTCAAGAATGAATTGGAATTCTCTGTTGGTGGGCCTTATATGGAAGATATGGGAAGCCCAAGTACTTACCAAAATAATTGCTTTTCCTAATTCCTAACATTGAGCTGCACGTGTTAGCCCAATCCTCATGGTAGTTTTTAGAAAAGATAACCTTAGATTTTTGACGTTTACCTTTTGGCTCGATGCATTATTAAACTCTTCCAAGGTAGTCAGGATAACTTCACTGTTCTTTTTGGTAGCTCTGCCAAACAAAGTGAGGTCATCAGCAAAAAATAGGTGGGAGATTTTGGGGTCATTCCTACTGATGGTGATTGGGAGCCATTCCTTTTTAAGGACTTCCTGGTCAATGTCTCTTGAGAGCCTTTCCATGTAGATGATAAAGAGGTAGGGGAGATTGAGTCTCCCTGCCTAATGTCTCTTATATGATTGAAAGGATTAGTTTGGCTTCCATTGACCAGTATTGATATGTAAGAGGTGGAGATGCATGAGAGGATCAGGTTGGTTAGCTTAAGAGGGAAATTGAAGAAAATGAGGGAGTCCCTGATGAAAGACCACTGAAGTCTGTCAAAGGCTTTTTCATGATCAATTTTGAGGATCATGTTTGCATTTTTCCTTTTCATCTTTTAGAAATGAGTGATGTATTCCTGAACAATTATGGCATTATCTGAATCTCTTCTATTAGAGAGGAGGCTTGCCTGAGATGGCCCAATAATAGTTTGAAGGATAGGTTTGATCCTTTTAACTATTATTTTTGTGACAGATTTATACATTGTGTTGCACAACCCTATGGGTCTAAAGCTCTTTAGAAGGGTAGCATTTTGGTATTTAAGGATCAAACACATGAGTGTTCTATTAACTTCAGGTGGCATGGTTGAAGTGTTAAAGACTTTGTGGCAGAATTGGTTGACATGGGTTGATAGGATGGACCAGTATTTTTGGTAGAATAATGGGTGCAACCCGTCAGGACCAGGTGCCTTGAGTGATTTGAAAGAGTTCATGACTACTTTAGTTTCAGAGTTCTAAGCGGTTGGTCTAGGGACACCCTCATGCTGTCAGTTAGAGTTTGAGGAATATTCTCACTGTGACCTCTCTTATGGGTGGATGATGTATGGGATGTGGTGAAGATGTTCTTAAAATAATCTCTAGTAGCTTCTTTGATGAGTTTAGGGTTTGTGATTTGATTCCCCACCTCATCAGTTAAATTAAGAATCTTATTCCTCCTCCTTCTGTTGAGTATGATAGTGTGGAAGAATTTGGTATTAGCATCACCTTGAGATAGCCAATCGACTCTAGATTTCAGCTTCCAATCTTCCTCATTTTGGAGGATTGCTGAGCATTCAGCTTGGAGATTGGCTTCTAGGTTTTGCAAGAAGGAGCTGAAAGGGTAAGCACTAGCTTTCTGAATGCCATTCAACCTATCTAGAATGTGCTTCTTTTTGTGGAAGATGTTACCAAACACTACTTTATTCCATGTGGTCACATTTGCCTTAAAAGTTTTGGTATTTTCCAACAGGTCATTGGTAGAGGTGAAACTATTATGCACAATGTTGTGAAAGTCAGGGTGGCCACACCACAT